CCTGGGAAAGTCACCCCTAGAAAGCCAGATTAACTCCTGATGCTACCAGGGCACAGCCTGGTGGTCAGAAAGGAATGATGCCACAGGAATCAGAACCACATGCACAAGAATGACAACAGAGTATTCTGTGTATGCACCCTGGGTAAAATCAGATTACTTGTATGGATAAGACAAAATCCAAACATTTTCCACAAATAATATTTGCTCTTACCAGAAATAAGTTTTCTAAGAAGATGATTCCCAGTGAATGACAGACGACCAATTACACGCACACAATAGAGCCACTCGAATGGCTGATCTGGCTTCTCTTCTAATTTTTAAGTAATACCTTTCTGTGTACCTTTCCATCCTTAATTAAAGTGCACAGGAGCTCGGAGAGGAAGGAGCTCTCGCCAGAAGGTAGATACAAGCCCACATCTCTGCTTTAGGTAGAATTTAAGTGAGTCCCTGTCCCCTTTGTAAACCGCCTGTGCCTCTAAGACATTCTCACTAACTATGAAGAGACGTAAGTCATTCCTATAAAAGTCTTTAACTTAAAAGAATTGTCTTGTTTTTACCCCCGACGTCTCATTAAGAAAATCTTCCTATCCTGTAAAGAATAAGACCCACAATGATATGAGGCCATTCCATTTCTTTACAACAGACTTTAGAACTTGGGCTTTTAACTTGTGCTACTTCACTAGCTCACATAAATGTCTCAAAAATGAAGAGGGGGATACAACCAAATACAAACACACTATACCTCCTCCATTCCATTGGTTCTCTTGGAAGCTGCTGGGAAAGCGTTGGGTAAACAGAGGTAAATAAATTCTGATCTCCAGCACCTACAAAGGGAATAAAGAGAAATTCAGTTATCATATTTTTAGGTGAATACAGGCAAGACAGGTTCTAAAGTTTATTAAATTGGTATTTTTAGGTAATTTTATATTTAATATTAATAAAATGACATCACAAGATTGTTTGTTCTGTACCTTTAAATGCCTGGTCTCAAGAAAACCCAGTGCTAGGCCTAGAAGAGTGAACTTAGCCCTCATGATGCCTCCATGAGGTACGTGTAACTTTCCCGGGAGTAGAGTGGAGGCCAGAAGTAGTGAGTCACTTGCCCGTGGACAGAAAGCTAAAGAGGGACGGAGCCAGCTCAATCCCAGCCAGTTTCGCTGTGCTCTATAGCCACTGCTTCTCTGACTTCAAGAGAACAGCCCAAAAACCCCATGCAGAAAAGGAAAACCAGAGCAGTGACCATAAACAGCTTCACCAAAATAAACTCAGTGTCCACCCAAATGCCAGTTAGAGGTAAAATTTATACCAGGCAAACACAATACAAACAAGTCACCTGCCAGGCACCCTCTCACTTAGTCTTCACCATAACTCCTGGGAGCAAAAGCACAAAGCCAACCCTGATTTACAGACGGAAAGTAAGGTTTGAGAGGTCGATGTGTTGGGAGCACAAAGCTGGCTAGTGGCAGACACTAGTCACCCATCCAGTGGTGTCCAACTTTACGCTGCACACTTGGTTGTTAATTCAGCTCTTTTATCCTAGCTTTAATAGAAATGAAAAATCCACTTAGTTTTCATAAAATGATAGTATAACTGTGTTACACTTAAGCTAAAAGAACCTTTTAATATAGATGACTGAAATCCTTATACTCAGAGGATCCTAGCAAAACCATTTTCCAAACTGCTTTTATATTGATCTTTAAGAAATCGCTGGGAATTGATGTGGGCCATTAACACATTTGCTTATTTTGCTATCATGAACCTAAAAATACAACCTCCGAAATTCACATAATGTCAAGTCACTGTGGAGAGCGATGCCATTTCTGGACAGATGGCGCGGTGGGTGGGCGGGGCCTGGGAGCCTGACTGCCCAAGTCCCCGTCTCCACGTCACCCCTGACCAGCTAACTATGCTGGGGAGACCACTCACCCTTCCTGGGCCTTGGGCACCACACGTGAAATGGGAAAATAAGAACACCATCTCCTCAGCAGGGCTACGGTGAGGATTAAATGAGCCAATACACACAAATGCCTGGAACAAGGCCTGACACATAGCACTTAACAAGGGTTACTTGTACTATATTTCTGTTAGATAAATACAATTTTTATGTTTTAACTTATCACTTTTCACCTTGCTCATTTATTTGGTAGTCATCTTAAAAATCAATAAAATAAAAAACCTCAGCTTCAGGTTTCTTATCTTTGCCAATTTCTCTTGCCTCATTAAAAGGTTCCAAGATTAATGTATAAAAATCATTGCTCTTTGCTAAGCGGAAAGTGAGCCAACTAAATGGAGGCTTTCTCCTCCTTCGCTTGGTTTTCTACGTGAAACTACACACACCTTCTCGCTCTCTGTCCTTGCAATAAAGTCCCCATAAGTGCACGAGTCCCCCTCCAAGCTCATCTCCCCCAGGAAACCTGCTTACAGTAAGCCAGATTCACATGGAGACTACAGTTACCCTTTCTCCCACATTCCCTCACGGACTGAACCTTTAACCTGTGTTAGTCTGAAAGACGACAGGTCGGTCAGCACATGTGCCAAGGGCAAAGATGTCATCTGATGTGACTGGAGATTTAGCCTGTGCCCAGCTGGCCTCAGCACCTGTCACGGGCTGATTTGTGTCCCCCACCCCTCAAATCC